CAATAATTGAAACTGGCGGTCGGGGGCTTCAGTTCCAGAAGTATTCCCTGTTATGCGTCATAGTTTTTGGGGTGAGTTTGTTTTTTTTTTTGCACAAGAGGGTCAGACCTGGGGATGCTGGCCCTCGCTGTAAACCAGCCACTTGTCCCCTTCTCCAGTGTTCGGTTTGTCGTGCGTTTCCCCCACCGCACACCCCTGTTCGCACGGTTGGCTACGTACGGTGCCAAAGAAGTTCAACAGGACCGTAGAGAACAGCGGGCCTTGTCTTCCGTGGCGCAACTGGGGGAGTGGAGGTGTTTGGGGGGGGGCAGACATTGCCATTTCTGTCAGGAATATGTGAAGACAACCATCTACAATCCTCCCAGCTCTCATCTCAGGGTCATGCCTGGGTGCCGTCGTTATTCCTTCATCGCGTTGTCACGTGGCTCCGCAATGTTGGTACACATTATTTAAGTTCTCAGGTTGCGTGAACGACAAGGCTATAGTGTGCAGTGTATGGTTTATTCTAAGCTACCTCTTCTGGTCGAGACTGTTACTGTTTGAGAGGACTCTTCTCTGCAGCGTGCCAACATGGGCACCAACACAAAACATCAGCCGAGTACAAAATCTACCTTCCTGCCTTACTCTCGCACATGTCCGCATTTTCTAGACGAGTTAGATTCCACCCGATGAAGTCACCTGACTTGTCTGACCCCCATCGGGTGGAATCGTCCTCTTCGAGTCGCTTTGAACTCCTGGCAGGCGTAGGAGAAGAGTGACAAATAACGGCGTGTGTAATGGCGGCGTGGCCCTGTGCACGCCTCTCGTGCAGATTACCAACCCGCGGTCACATACACGCACAGCCGTGGGCTGACCTTTGACCTGGCGAGAGCCCCCGTAACTTTAGAGTACAAATATTTCAAGAGAAACATCGGGAAGCTCTGTTTCGTCCAGGGGTGCCGAATGTCCGTAATTTACTTCATGGAAATTTTTTTTTATTGGGATTGAGAATTATGAGGTTGTTTTTCTTCTATTTTTTTTTGCCTTCTTTAATAATTGGTGGAGGCCATCTGCTGTCTACCCATGAAAGGCCGCTCTCGACTTAGCCGAGGTTTAGGATTAAAACCCAGGCGCTCATCGGTGTTGACTCAACGTGGGTATAAGCTCATCTCTGCATCAGTCCACCCGGCCACCTCCGCGTTCCAGACTTTGATTTAGGAATTCGCCTGTCGGAGAACAAATAAATAACAGAGCCGTGAGGCGGATGCGTTTTGTGCGAATCAATGTATCGTTTACCGCCTCCACGTGTTTGACATTGCAAGTGCAATGATCGCCTTCGGTGATCCTGCAGAGCTGAGCCACCATGCAGGCAGACTTCCTCTGACACTGCACGGCGCGTACTTCAGATCACAGTGGCCGTTATTGTGCTGGGGTGTTGATACACCTAGGGGGGAGGAGGCTGGCTGACTCGTTATCTGATGTCACATGGCAGGTCACTGGGCCACCACGTCTGATATCCTGAGTTTCCGATTCAGGCAACCATACCTGATTAAACTTGGTTCTCAGTTATAGCGGGTTGATGGTCTGAGCAGGGTCACCAATGACACTACTCTTGTGTTTATTCCAGTGCTGAGAATTTCATTTTTTAAAATTTAATTGCGATGCAAATTTAATTCTTTGCAGGGTATATAAAAGTTGTGCCCCGAGTGTGGATAGAGTGTGTCCTATTGATGTATTCAGGGTAAGCCGAAAAGGCTACCCAGATAAATAAATAAACGTCAAAAGAAACCAAATCACTTGAACCGGAACACAATTTGCATGCTAATTGGGCAGCTCGTTAGTTTTTTACGACGTCATCTTTCATGGCCATTCTCTGACGCAGGGTTGTGCACTGCTCGCTCTTGAGAGTAGTGAATGGAAAATGAGTTGCCTCTGGACATGATGCCAGTAGCCGCACAGTTGGAATATAATTAGGGGGGAAAAGTTTACCCTCCTGGACACAAAACCACAATTTGAAGAGAGTTTAAAAGCCAGAGTGTTTATGTTGATCTCTGTTGGCCCTTGTGTGTTATTACCCCCACGGCCCACTTCAGTCGCATGATCGCCCATTTAATAACAGCCCGTTTTTCAGGACAGACCCTGATTGGGATATTTGGTAATTTCCTCATCGGCGCTTTCAGCATTTGAAAGGAAACTTGCGTGTCCAGTCTCTCTCGTGTGTGATCGTGCCTAAACCTCGTTCATCACTTCAGCGCGGCATGATATTTTTTGGTATGGGGCCGGTAAAACTATCTCTGTATCCACTTGCCTACCTATCGCCCTCCCATTACCCCGCTCCACGCCTCTCCGTGTACTCCTCCATCTCCCTCTCTCCTGCCCTCCGTCCACACATTCCTCCTTGCCCTCTCTCTCTAAGTTTCTCCCAACCTACCCGCCTCGCCGTCTACCTGCCCGCCTGCCTGCTTGCGTACCAACTTTTCAGAACGAGAGACATATGCGTGTAAATTAACACGCGCGCACGTCAGGAAAGGCGCACGTGAAGCGCTCGTGCAAACAGTAATACGCGGAGTTGTGTGACAGCCCCACCGTCGCTGCCATGCACCTTCGACGGAGACACCTGAGCGGTTTGTACAGCAGGCGTGTTTACCGCTCGTCGTTGTCGTCGTAGAAGCCACGTCGCCTCCAGCCTTGCTGGGTGTATTCCCCCCACCCCCCGCCTTCTGCCGGCCGATAGAAAGGGCTCTCGCAGAAATCTGCGGAAAGCGTCCCGGTTTAACGCGCAAGGTGATACCGCGTCAATTGCGCGTTTGAAACTTTGCCAGGCATTTCCCCTGGAAAGTTCGGTTGAACTTTGGTTGCAGGTCAGCATGCGCAAACCTCTCGTTTCGCGTGAACTTGACTCAGAAATATTCTCACGCCACCTTTATAGTATCGGCCACGAGCTTTGGCGCCTCCGAGTATGTTTGGCCAGCCTGGTTGTGGGCTAAGTGCTGTTCGCTGCTGTTTCATGGACATGGGTTTGGCAAGGGGGGCGGGGCGGGGGGTGGGTTCGGTGGGTGACCCACACAGCGCCCACTCCACACAGGCCCTGCGGCTGTGACGGGCGCCAGGTGTTCATTTCGCAATAACTCCAGCCGTTCCCATCCTCCACACTCGCCCCCTTATGTGTGGTGTGGCCTTGTTCCACACCCTCCCTGTGTGTGGTGTGACCTTGTTCCACACCCTCCCTGTGTGCGGTGTGGCCTTGTTCCACACCCTCCCAGTGTGGTGTGTAGTCTTGTTCCACTCTCTCTGGATTCCATAGCGTGGGCAAACTTGGCGGCGCATTGTGTCACACGGCTTGTTTTTACAGAACATTTATCATTGAGGTATCGAGCACTATTGAAGTCCCATTTCTAATTAATATCAGGCGAACGCTCCGTGCACAGTTTGTTTTATCCTGCACACGTGGGGATAAAATTCCGGCCTTCCTAGTTGCTCGCTAACAGCACTTGCCCCAACGATTTGTTAAGGCTATGCGGGGTGGGGGCGGGGGGGGCGGGAAATTTTCGTCCTTTGTGGGTGAACCACGTAAGTTGCAGTGAACATAAGTTGAGCGAATGAACGCTTTGCGGCTGAGACGGTGTGCATTAACGCTTATTAACTCACGGTAAAGGGGGGAACGCCGGGGTCATTGCTGCGGGTGACCGTTGTGTGCGTGTGAGCGTGTGTGCGCATGTGCGCATCGAGCAGAGCAGCCTATTTGTCTTACTTAAACAAATTAATTCCATCTTGGGCAGCACTGCACGCGAGATATATGCCGAGTTACTCGACTGCGCCACTTAAGAACAGCGCCATTAATTTCCCACTGAGTGGGTGAGTGTGTGCGCCTGCTCCCGCCGAGCACACCCCCACAGGCCTCTGTCCGTATCCCGTGAGTGTGTGTGTACGTGTGAGTGTGTGTGTGTACGTGTGTGTGTGTGTATGTACGTGTGAGTGTGTGGGTGTGTCTGGGGAGTGGTGGCGCGGCAGTTAGCGCACCGAGCTCAGAACTCGGCGAACCGAGTCGATTGGTGCTCACGGCCAATACCAGTGACGATTATTTGAACCGGTTCTGGGCCTCCCCTCAGTCGACTCAGCGTTATATGAGTACCTCGTGCGGCGATGTGTAAACATCGCCGCTAGGAAGACAAAGGTGACCGGGCATCGTGCTGGTCAACCCACCCCCTCGTGTGCCATGCCGGCCTTCATTGGTGCTAATCGCTAACAGCATTTGCCCCAACAGTGTGTTAAGGCTATATGGGGGTTATCTTTTGTCTTTCTACGTGTGGTCCAACGCCCCAGTGTTTGTGCATGCGCTCATTTCATGGCCGTTAATTAATTTTTTTCACGATTTGTTCTGCATGCTTACTTGTTCACGGTTTTCCGTTCTCTTCAGTCGAACTCTCCACGATGCGTCTAACCTGAGCCCGCTTGAAATTCATTCTCTCTCGCACGAGAGACCCGCAGCAGAGTTGGGGTTGCACAGAGACTTCTCGATTCCGTGAACCAGTTGCGTCTTGTCCGTGCGTTGAACTTCTCTTGCTCCGCACGAAGCCAACCTCGCTCATCGGAGGTGTGGCTTGGTTGACCAGGCGTAGGTTTCCGCATTGACACTCGTACACAGCGGCCTGCCCTTGCGCGCACCGTGTTTGACGTGTGCCACGCACAGCCTCAGCCCGCCGGGGAGATGCCGAGGTGCTGCCTTCTGAACCGAACTCCTCAAGAGTCGTTCGCTTCGTGCCAGACGCCGCCACCGCGAAATTCCCTATGGGCCAGCTCCGGGTGCCGAACCTAGGACGTTTGGAGGCGTTAAATTCCGCCGTCTCGACACGCCCGTTATGAACATCCCCTCGAGATGCCGGGGCTCCAGGGCCCCCCCCCCCCCCCCCCCCCCCCAGAAGAGAGATCTCTTCCGAGGTGTTAGCTCGGCGCTCTCGCACGGCCATTATGAGCCCCGCGAGAGCCCACCGGTGGCGCGGTGCGCCCGTGTGCGTGTGCAGTGATTAACGAGCTGGACGGGCTGGCGAGGGGCCAGGACGCGCGGCGCGCGGTGCAGCAGGCGAGGCTGGTGCAGGAGCGGGCGCGGGCCGCCGTCGCCTTCCTGGAAGGGCGCTTCGAGGAGCGCGAGCCGTGCCTGCGGGCGCTCACCAGCCGCGGCAACGAGCTCGAGTCCATCGCCTTCCGCAGCGAGGACACGGCCGGGCGGCAGGTGGGACTCGCGCACCCACACGCGGCCGCTCGCCTGCTCTCGCCGAGCCTACGTACGACGCGAAAGAAGTTGGACGTGCGGGGAAAGGCACGCCCGGGCTCCCGCATGCCCGCATACCCACATCCCCACACACCCGGGCACCCATGTGTAAACACGCTTTGCTGTCCAAAGATACACCCGGGTGACCACGTACCCACATGCCCACACACACCCGGGCACTCGTGTACAGAAACATGCGTAGCTGTTCAAAGGCACACCTTGGAAACACTGGGGGCCCCCCACCGCGCACCGCCGCCAACATCCGCCGCCGGTGATCCAAGGGCGGCTCTCGCGGCGCTCCACCGCGTGGCCGCGTGACGCCCGCCCGGCGCTAACGGCGCCCCCTGCCCGTGTGCCCTCCCACAGGGGAACAACGATGACCTCATCCTGTCCTGCTGCCTGCACTACTGCAAGGACAAAGCCAAGGACTTCATGCCAACCAGTAAAGGTGCTCGCGTGCAACCACTCACTGCCTCCTCCGCTCGCTGCTCCCCCTACCACTCGCTGCTCCCCCACCACTCAAGGTTTCCGGAACACAGTGGAGTGGTGTGCACACGCGCCCGACACGCGCCCAGCACGCGGCATCACCACGCTGCATCACCACGCTCACTCGTCACGCTGGGGGTGTGGCAGTGTGTGTGCGTCGTGTGTCTGTTTGACTGGAGTGTTACTGTCCGTGTAGCTGCCTGTGTGCACACGCGTTGGACCTGTCACGCTGTGTCCACCTCGCGATTCGATGAATCGGCACGATCCGGCCATCGCGATTTATTCTCAGCATTGTTTTTAATCGCTGTGGTGAAGGTAACATTTCCAGTGGTTGCAGGGGTCACGTGAACCCATTACGGCACAAATTGAGAATAATTGATTCTCCCGCAAATGACTTATGCGTGTGTTGCGATCTTAAGAATTAATTTTAGTCAATTAATCGATGCGTAGTCGCATGCCTGATGTGTGTGTTGCTGACTGTCGCGTGCGCATGTGTGTAATCGCTGGCTGGTGTGTGGGTGACTGTGTGCGACTCAGCCTCAAACGAGTATCTGGCGCATGCTGTGTAAACATTACCACGAGGGAGACAAAGGCGGCCAGGCGTGTTGCTGGCCACCCACCCGCTTCGTGTGCCGTGCCCGCCTTCGTAGGTGCTCACTGACAGCGCTTGCCCCAACAGTCTTTTAAAAGCTACACTGGGTGTCTTTGTTTTCTACACAGACTACCGTCAATACGAAATTGCCGCCTCAGCAAATTTAACAAACAATATATTTATGAATAGGCTGAATTTAATTCACTAAAATTACAGAGCACATCAGTAAACCTTCAGAGCCGATATTTTTGGCCAACCGACCAACAGGAAAACGTTGACATTGGCAAACGTGGGACACAGCAGACTTGGCTGGGGTTCTTGCACCGAGCAGCTCTTCAGAAATCCAGAGCCGGTCCAAGTCTCGCATAAGTGACAGCGAGATATATTGCCCTCACAAAGGCCAATCAGTCAAAATACGGTTGGTCCGTTTCTTGCAGTGATCGTATTTGCATTTTACACACGTTGCAAGTGTGTGTCGTCGTGCGTCCGCGGGGAGAGGTGGTGACAGCACTGCGCTCCGAAGCCAGCAACCCGAGTTCGATTCCCATAGCCACGAATCGCATCGACGCGTGCTGTGGGCCACCCTGCCCCCAGGTCAATTCGGCCTAAAATGAATACCTGGTGCAATGTTTGACGGCCATCACTAGGGAGCCAGGGGTGGTCACTCCTAGCCCTTTTACCCCATCTCTCCATAACAGTCTTTGACTTGCGTGCAGCAGTGTACCTATAGTTGAAGATTTCCAATCGTTCATCCCCACTGGTTTCTTTTAAGTTACCCCAGTGCCTTTGAATGCGACGTCCAGGTGATCGCAGACTTGCACCTTTGTATTAACGCACAGACACGACGGTGCGGGGTGGGGGGCCCCTCTCAAGGGGGGCGCGAGGCCCGGCGGCATGAAAGTCGGGTCCAGGAGACCGTTTTAGACAGCTCTGTTGGAGCGATATCACCAGCAGACAGGCGGTGCTGAACTCACTATCTGATGGACCGAGATGATGAGAGACTGCACTCCCTGCTGCTGGAAGAGTGGGCCGACTGCCAGGAGGAGGAGGGAGAGATGCAGTCGTTCAAGTCGAGAGTCTCTGTTAGGCACGCAGACAACGTGGCCCAAGAGGGGCCTTCGAGGTGCCTCCATGCGCTGTGCCAAACCTCGCGATGCTGTTTCCTACAAGAGCAGGCAACGCCATGGGTTCACAGTGCCATTACAAGGCTGCCACTGCGGAGGGAGTGAGGGCGGGCATTGGTTCGCGTATTTTGGTACGAGCGAGGCAACCCATGGTGGGTGCACAGTCATATTTTAACGAGTCCTAGGCACCCCCTCCCCCCCCTCACCAGTATGCACTGATCTATATAGTGAAGTATGCTCAGACGCAAGTTTTAGTTGGTGACTCAAATTTTTATTGATTTTATCACCGTCATTGTCATCGGCTACGCCACCATCGTCATTCGTCATTTCCTCACCGGGGTCATGTTATGCACTGAGCCAGGGGGAGGAAACATTTGCATAAAGGAGTGTGCCTATGCAAATGCTTTTGAAGACGCCTTCTGATTAGCCCAGGCCCGATCCGGTAGCTGCCCCCCCCCGGGTGATCGATGATTTGTGAATGGGGCAAGCGGATTGAAAAATGTAGCGGAAAAAGGCGTCTAACTCTGAACATCGCTTCAAAATGTCTGAAAAAGACATTAGAAAGTTACTTACATGCTATTTACGTTCCTGCTTGAATGCATGTTCATATATTAATTTACTTAATACAAATGAAAGCAAATGTTTAAGAAAGGGTGCCATCCCAAACGCCCCGAACAGTCCGGCCGCCACTGGTCAAACAGTGGACACCGCATGGGGGGAGAGACCTTCAATCTAGCAGTGGATTGGCAAAGGGTTGGATGTGACAAATCAGTGGATGTGTAGTGCAGGTGTCGTGGGTCCTGTGACGTGGTACTGCCAGTTGCTACTGCTGTGCTGCTGTGCCCACCTGATCGCCACGCTCGCACAATTTGGCAATATTGGGCTGAGCCCTGAGTGAAAAGCTCCCACGCAAACAACAACAATAATGCTAATAATGACAACGATTAACAAAAAAGATTTGTAACGTGCACAGATTTCACAAAACGGGCAAATCGCAGTTCAATCGTGTGGACTCTTATAGTGATGATTTGCAGTGATAATAATTACTGCAGATGTTGCCGGCTCTTCCGCGAATCCGGTTCGCTGACCGCCGCTTCCCCCCCCCCGCCCCCCGTGCCGTCCCCGCTCGTGCCCGTCCCCCAGGAGACCCGATCCGCCTGCGCCGCGACGTGGTGCTGCTCACGGACGACCGCAACCTGCGCCTCAAGGCCCTGACGAGGAACGTACCGGTCAAGGACGTGCCGGCCTTCCTCGCCTGGGCCAACGTGGGCTGAGGCGAGGAGCGCACGGAGCGACCGCCCCGAGGGATCGGAATAGGAGCGAGCGGCGGCTTCCTCGCGACGCACGCGTGGCGCTTTTGACGGCCGCGCGCCCGTGCTCCTTCTGAGAGGAGGAGGAGGAGTGCGGGGTGAGGCGGGCGGCAAGGCGACAACGCCCGCGTGGCTACCCACTCGCCGCCAGCGGCGAGCCCCGGCTGCCGGCACTCGTCCTGAAGGTTTTCCCTCTCGAGCGCGGGTGGCGGTGACGCGCGGGCGACCGGCCCGGCAACCCTGGCACGATCGGCGGGTTGCGGCTCGAGGTGGTCGGTGGTGATCTCTGGAGAGAAGTGTCGTAAAAAAAAGGAAAAAAATAAAAGAACGTACTGTTAAAAGTGTTTAATGAAAAAAAAAACGGAAAGTTCGGGAAAAAAATAGGAATCGGTTGATGCGCAGGGGGTTTAAATGTTGAGAACAATTATAGAAATGTCAAGAACAAGAAGTGGAAATACCACGAATGCGCGGTGGTGGTGGTGGTGGTTGGTTCTGGGTTGTGTCTTCCCGTGCCGCACGGTGACGATTGTTCGCTGGGCAGAAGTGCTTTTTGGGGCGGCTGCAATTGGCACGATTTTTTATTTTTTTTAGAAAGGCTCGTGTTGGTGGAAGGCATTGAAAATGGTGATATTTATGCAAAAAAAGACTTGCTATTATTAATACTTTGGGGAGTTTTTTTGGAAAAGCTTTTAACACTCCACTCTTGGAACCAAAGCATCAGTGGTGAGGCTATTGGCAAAGACAAAATAAAAGTGTAACATTAACCTGTCAGGTTATTTGCTTAAAGTATTCCAAACGATCTTTATATTTGAAATTTTCCTTTTCCTGATTGAGTTAAATGCCCCCTTCGCTAAGCCTGACACAAAAACCTCCCGGGCCGAACCGCTGCGAGGCAGCGTACCACGACTCGTGGATGACCAGCGCTGCCCCGTGGACTTGGTGGTGCGTCGAGCAGCGGCGATGATGGCATCATGGTCTGAGCATTTGAGACCGGAGACGGAGCCGCGCGCCACGCTCTCTCGGTGGGCCTTGCGCCTCCTCCCTCCCGCGCGCCGTTTGTCTTTAATAAAGGGCAGGGGGTATGGTGGTGGAGGGCGTTTAATGAGCAACAGAGTCGCGGGGTTTTCGTTTCCCTCGCTCGCTCTCAGCCTGCGAGCCCGGCGGAAATGTACGGATTCCTCGCTCAATTCCGCTCGTCCTGCGAGGGCGGTGGTCGTGGGTTTGGGGTGGCGCGGTTCACGAGGGGGGGGGGGGCTCGCGCGGCGCAAGCCCCCCCCCCCCTCACCCTCGTGAGCCGCGCGGGTTCGTGGGAACGCACGCACGGCGAGGCTGCTCAGCCCAGCCGCCCCCCCCCCTTCACTCGCGCCTAACTCCCCCCCCCCAACTCTCCTGACCGCTTTTTGGCCACGGCTCGTTTTTGAGCGAGCGCCCTCTTGCCGGATTCCAACTTTACGCCGAGCGTCAGGGGAGCTGCTAACAGTTGTTATTCACTCTGCGCCGGACTTGGCAGCGCCAAACGGTGCACACTTCCTCTCCTGCCACCCCCACCCCAGCACCGTCTCCCCGTTGTATTTTATTCTCCCCCCCCACCCCCCCCCCCCCCCCGTTCTCTTTCGCTCTCTCATAGTTTGGCCCGTCCGCGTGCAAGTGGCTTGAGATTCACATCGCCCGACAGCCTGCCGGGCGCCCTGCCACTTTTGTTTCAAGTCCATCCCAGTTGCTGCAATATCGAGCGAGCTGGCACGGAGGGGAATTTTATGTTTAATGTGCGCTTCGGGGTCGAGGCATGCTGACGTGATTGTACATCAAAAGGAATCCACGTTGAGCTCGTGACGGCTGCTGTGCTTTTTTTTGGGTGGTACGAGTGTGCCCCATGTGTTTCCGTATTGCAGGCAACATGTGTGCCATGGATTTGAGTTGGCGCGTTGTCTCGCAGGCCGTAAGCACCCGAGTTTGATTTATGTGCCGTGCACATTGGTGGCAATTGGTGTTCCAGCTCGCCGAATTGTCAACTCGCCCTACCGTACACGGTGCATAAAAACATTGGCACTGGAGAGGCAAAGGTGGGTGCTGTGCCAACCTTAATAAGTGCTCGTTAGCAACACTCCGACCAACAGTCTTTCCAGGCTTAGAAGAATGGGTATCTTTGTATTTGAGCTCAGGTGTGCATGTGCCTGTGTGTTTGTGTTTTGGAGCATTCATATCTGATGTTTTCAGTCATGTTTGGCTTTATACGTGTGTGTTCATTCATTTGAGTAAAAATAAAAAAAAAGTTGAGTTCAGTTTTTTTGCGTATGAGTTGTCTGAATTGTGTTAGGTGGACATCACGGAACACAATTCCATCCTCAATTTCATCGAACTTCGGGGCGGATGTCTCGTCAGAAAGATGTCCTCCGCGAGGAGGTGACGCTCGTCATGTTTCGTTGGGGCGAGGCTCCAGCGGCTGCCTAAGATGGCGTTGCTCTCGTTCGGCAAACGACGACGCGCGGAAACCCATTGCGAAATTATTTCCCGGGACCCGGATGCGTTTCGGGGGAACATTCGGTAAAGATGTAAACAAAGATACGGTACAATGGAACCGGACCATCCGTGGCTTCTCTGCCCAGGAGTTTTGAGACGGCGGTCGACCCTCAGACGGCCAAGACCCAGAGGAGGTTGAGGAGAAAGGCCCCCTGGTCGGTTTTTAGCGGCAGATCGGCTGGTTCACTGGGTGTTGCGTCTCGATGTGCGCGCCATTGGCTCAAAACACCGGCGACCGTTGCCGATCGCGCGGTGACCCCCGACCCCCGTGCGCGCCCACGTCTTGACGGATGCCGAAAGTGAAACGTGAAAACGGGCGTACACGAGGTCTGCAATAACAAAAAGTTAAATACGTGGCTTGATATTAGTGTTCTTATTGTGTTATAAAACTGTTTTGAAAATAGAAAAAAAATGTTCAAGAGACTTTCTTACTCTTAGAGTGTGAATCGCTTCGTAACGGGCGTTCACTGACATCTCTTTGGTCTCAAGAGGTGTTTGGCCCTCATTGTTGCCGGTCTCCTGTCACCGTGTTGGCGAACTTCGCCTTATCGTGCTGAGACGAGACTGCACTAGCTGTCTCTTCGCATTCAGTTACAATAAACAAAAACATATTTACCAGGTAAGACCCACTGAGCTCTCTAGCTATTTTTTTCAGAAGCGACCTGGCCACATGATAACGAAGTGGATCATCGCGTAGAAATGTATAGCAGCCGAATACTCTCAACGCATGTTGATTCTAAATGTGGAGGGAAAACCTGGAGAATCCGGAGAAAAAGCCACGTGACCACGAGGAAAGAGAGGGAGACACCGCAAACTCCAAATATACAACAGGTGTCTGGGTCGGGATTGAACCCACGACCTCTTGTATACCAGGCGAAGTAGTTAACATCTCCTAGCCACCGCGGCGCCCATCTCGCCAGAATGGGAGGGGGGGTCGTGCCAGGATCGACCCCTCAGTCACAACACCGATCCGTGCGGCTCGACAGCCGCACTTCCACGACTACTGGCAGGCAACGTAATCCCCCACGATGTCACCTTGGTGAGAGAGCCCTTCGGTGTCAAAGGCACCTTGCGGACAACGGTCACCGGGAACACTTAATTGGCCTTCACCAAACTATGCCTGGACCCACACTGGAGGTTTCGTTCCTTGCGACGACAGGAAAAAAAATCCTGTTTCAATCGATCGATCTGTATTTGCACGTGCCGATATCGCCCTCAAGAAGGTTGGGCATCGGTGCGCATTGCAGCGAAACGGGGCCTCGCGGAGCAATAAGAAATGAGAAGAGAGAGACCCGTCCCGACCTCGGGCCCGAACGCCGACCGAGCAGAATAAATTGCGTGCAACGAATCCCGCAAAAGACATGTAAGCAGTAAGTGCAAATGAGTCAATACATTAAAATTAAGAAACGGCTTCTGATTTGACTTCGAGTTTAATGTCATGGGAAGGGAAGCAATTCTGTTCTTATTGAAAGGCTGCAAACTGTCACACCGCCGCAGTGCATGGGCGCTCAGATTTTTCCACCACTATCCGGTAGTAGAATTGTAGAAAGCGATGCACGCAGTGCAGCCACACTATCATTGGGGAATTGCGGCAGTGCAGTGGCAGTGCAGTGCGTCTCAATGGGCTGCTACTGCTGCTGCTGCTGCAAACCGGTAGCAGCAAAGCATGTCCAGTGCAGGGCATTCTCAATGGGGCTTTTGCACCTGGTTTTAAGCAGTGGCGAGCAAGCGGTGTGTGTGTGGTGTTGTTATCTCGGGAGTGGGCTCCCGCCTGCGCTTGGCAGTGGTCGCAGTATCGCGCTGCCGTGGTGTGGGGCTGTGTTCAAGGTGCGGACCGCACGGGACTGGCGCGGGCCGGGCCGTGGGGCGAGATAAGAGATCACGGAGACACAACATGCCCCACAAAGTGCCGTGTCCACGCACAGCACGCGCACGTCCAGCGCACACGGCACACACAGCACTCGGTAGACACAGCACCCGCAGCAAGCACGGAACACACAACACGTCCGCAGGGACACACAGCAAATCACAATACACACAGGAGCCACAGGACACGCAGCACTCACAGGATACACAAGCCACAGGACACAGCACCCACAGGATACACAGCACCCACAATACACAGCACCCACAATACACAGCACCCACAAGATACACAGGAGCCACAGGACACACAAGTCACAGGACACATAGCACCCACAGGACACAGGATACACAGCACCCACAAGACACAGAAGCCACAGGACACACAGCACCCACAAGATATACACAAGCCACAGGACACACAGCACCCACAAGATACACAGGAGCCACAGGACACACAGCACCCACAAGATACACAGAAGCCACAGGACACACAGCACCCACAAAGATACACAGGAGCCACAGGACACAGCAAACCACAGGCCACATAGCACCCACTAGACATAGCACTCACAGGATACACAGAAGCCACAGGACACACAGCACACACAGGATACACAGGATACACAGCACCCACAAGATACAGGATACACAGCGCCCACGAGGCACACAGCACCAGGCTCCCTGCACGCAGCACGGACGCGCGCGCACAACATCACGCCAGCGCATGCCTCGAACCAAAGCAGGTGCGCGCCACCCATGTTGACCCCCGTGGGGCGAGCGGAGTTGGGGAGGAGGGGGGCGAGCGGAGTTGGGGAGGAGGGGGGCTCGCCCCGGGAGAATGTCGCTCGGTTTGTGAGCGCCTCCTCCTCCTCGAGTCGCCTCCTCTCACAGTGGGGGGTGGGGGGGCTCTTAACGTGGCCGCGTGTCACGGGCAGCGAGGCTGGTTGGGATGGGGGGCTCGGGTGGCACGGAGTCACCGGTTGGACTCCTGGCCGCGTGCTTCTTACCGCGTCTCCCGCCGCGGTGATTTTTGAAAGGTTTTTCGGTTTGGCCATGTTTGTTTGTTGTAGTACAGAGTTAGACTGATGACCTTGATCTAGGTTGTCTTGTGGTTGTTGTTGTTTGACTTGCATCCCACTGGGATTTTTGCACACAGTGTTGGTGTGCGGTGCTTTCTCTGCAATATTTTGCTGTCTTTTCTTGGATTTTCTGTTTGTACATAGTCACTTTAAGATTCATCTTATTGGTTCTTTCGGTAAAGTCACGTAGAATGGAAATAATAAAAGAATATTATGTTTTATTTTTATTATTTTATTATTTCCATTCTACGTGACTTTACCGAAAGAACCAAGAAGATGAATCCCTGCAGTCACGAAAGCTTTAAATCGAAATTTCACTTTAAGATGTTTCTTGTTCATGTTTTTGTTTTTTTTTGTTTGTTGCGGTTGCACCCGATTCAAGAGCCCAATGGCTCACAGGGCTCTATACTTAATAAATGAAACTTCAAACTTGATTGCGGCGCGTACCAGCCAGGACCGCGTGCGCCGTAACATTGACGAGTCCCTCCTGGATGTTACCATAAATCTCGGCGCTCACGCGACGACGTTTGCATGTCTATAATTTTAATTGGATGGTTAAAAATATACGGCAGGAGGTCGTCGTCCAAGCAGTGGATTGACCACGGTTGATGTGGATACCTTTTTTGAAAAGATCTTCCAGCTATTGCTTCGATTTTTCTGGGCAGCCAAGAAGCAACATGGAGTAATATTGAAACACGTGATTTGGTGGTGGTGGTGGGGTTGATGCTGCTACTGCTGCGTTGGGCAGGGGTGCACAAGCACAATTAACAAACAACGAAACTCATAAATAACACCGCGGCCGTAAAAGGGAGAGAGAGAGGAAAAAAAAAACATAATATAGGCGACGTTTGGGGCAATACCCCTTCCTCGGAGCACGTAAACATTATTTAGAGTGCCGTGGTGCACCAAAGGTCCGGGCCCTTCTGGAGGAGGTGGCCCCTGGGGGATGCTTGGACGTGAAACGGGGGGGAGGGGAGGAGGGGGAATCACCCCGCGGGAGAAACAACCAATCACACACGCTCACACACAAGACAAAGATCCCCCGTACAGCCTTCACGGTATTTTTGGGACAAGTGCCGTTAGCGAGTACTACTAACCCAGTGGAAGCCGGCACATCTTAGGGGTTAGCGAGCACCTTTAGAGGCCGGAACAGCACACTCGGGATTGGGTGGCCAGCACCACGCCCGGTCGCCTTTGTCTCCCGAGTAGCGATGTTTGCACATCGCACCAGACACTCATTTGAGTCACACCAAACATACCAATACCCCATAAGTGGCGGTGACGTCACCACGGCGCCTGTGCCAGGCCACGTGCACTTTGAGGCCGCGTGAACACACGCACACATTCAATAGCAAGACACACACAATCACGAAAACACAAATATTAGGAATTTCTCGCAGGCTGCTGCTGCTGCTTGCTTACCGCTCTCTCCGTTCTTGCTGTGCAGGAGGCGTGGGTGGGGGGGGCATTCGCGAGTGGAATGTGGCCAGACACGTCCCGTGAGCGGTCCAGCAAGCCCCTGGGGGGGGGGGGGCTTTGGTGGTAGAGGTGGACGGCGGGGGGGGGGCATTGCGAGGTGGAGCGAGCGATGGACAACCGCCGAGAGAGAGAGAGGTGGAGCGCTCACGAACGAGAAACGTTGAAGGCCACTGGCACGGCTCAAGGGGAGGCAGAGGGAGTGGCTCAAAATACCAATAAAATACTAACATTTCGTCAAAGTCGAGTTAAAGCAAAGTGACCCACACGTTTCAGCAATATACACCTCCGTCTTTAAGTTGTGCTTTCTCACCTGCTAGCATCATAACAACAATCAGTTGTTCTTTTCTTAAGCT